TTTTATTTTAGCTAAAGATTACTTATTGATTGTTATTTATAATTGGGTATATATGTCTTAAACTAAAGACAAATTTATAAATAAAAATAATTTAATGTTAAATGAAAGTCCACGACTCATTTTAGATTTGTAAGATTTTATATAGTCATTTATATAGTGATTAATAAAATTAAAGCCAAAAATTTACTAAGTAATTTAAAATCAACTCAAGATATAAATCTTTTAATAAAAAAAGTTAAATTTAATATTGTTTTGAGGATCGTAGCTCGTCTCTAACTAGTTCGATTTGAATGATCAATAGGTCTAATGAAAGCCCTTACATCACAGAATATTTAAAGGCTAGACTGAACTGCAAGCGTTGATCAGAACTGGAGATGTAAGAATAATTATCTTAAAAAATCTACGGAAGTACGAAACGTCCATAAGAAATGTATGGGGAAGAGTTTTCGTTTGAATATATCTTCAAAACGTAAAAAGATATTTAAAAACGGATTTCGGCATTGACATCAGCGTGAAAATCTAGTTTGTAATGATGTGTCACAACGTTATCATTACTTTTACATATTTTTATTTATTTCCAATATGGTGGATCCAAGATGGCGGCCAAAAATGAGTTTGCTATTGAAATGAAGTACTAACCACCCAATAAACATCGGTGGCCGTCCCAATTCAATATCTCAAAGAATTTTAAACAAAGAATGCATGTGGTATCTTTTTTTCAAATTTGACCAATGTTGGGAAAAGCCGCCATTTTTAATCGTGATTTTAGGTGGTTTCCTGTGGACCGATTTTTGGCAACTTTTAGTATGTCACTCTGCAGACCCAACACTACAAAAGAAAACCATAAAACGTTTTCTTGCAATTTCTTCAAGGTCATATCCTATATTTCTCTGACTAAATGTAAAACGGCACAATTTAGCGTTTATTTACATTTTTTGTATTTTTACCTATTTTTAGTGTGCTCTAGTGACGTAACGGTTTGTCGGAGAAACGAGTGTTATATATGAAACTTGTAGTAAATTTTATGCTCTTTAATTTTACAAACCCGGGTATTTTCAGAAAACCCTTTTACACCAAGATTTAGCCCAAAAACCTAAAAAAAATACCCGAATTTTGACTTTTTTCATAAAAAAAAACAATGTTCCGGGCATAATATCTGTCAGCAAACCTCATATTCGTGTTCAGCAACCCAAAAAACATAAAGAACAATGGTGATTAGGACTGTACCTAAACTTTCCGCTAACTGCCACTTATATTCCTAATATGCCTAGCCTAGTAGTCCTTTCAAACTGACTAAGAAGGAATTCCCCTTGAAAGTTACCTTTTCCACGACTTTAAATAAGGCACATGGACAGACGCTGACGAAGGAAGGATTGCAAGTGCCAGACCCTGTTTTTTACACATTCAGGTTTTAAAGGGGTGCTTTATCAGTGAAAACTATGTCTGTGTATAAACAAAACCATCAAAACAATAATCGTTTATGGCCATATTATTACTTCGAACATAGAGTCTAAATAGGTCCTGTAAACATGTAAAAATGTAAATAACTTTAATTTACATAAACATTTAACACAATAACATAAACATTTAACATTTAAGTTAATAAACATTTAATTTTGAAAAGGTTAATTATCTAAAATGTAGAGCCACAAATTACTATTCCTGTAGTAAATACTTAAATGTACTTAAATATTTACATACTTAAATCAACGATGCACTTACTACGCAGAATTAACTTTATATATGTTTTGTACCTCAATAAGTAGGATTTGAGAAGGATTCAGTGCAAATGCTTTGAACGGGTCGGCTTTTATAATTTTAAAAGTAATTTTGGCTTTAGAAAGACACGCTTTTTAAGCGTTTATGTATTCAAATTTGTCCTTAGGAGGGGAATCTTCACTTCTCTTTCCGATTGGGAAACCTCCCTACAACACTTGATAACATCTTACGTCATGACAAGGGTTTTTTCAAGCCTAGAATGTTTTTAACAAAACTAAATACCGTAGCGTTGACTAGTCCTAGTAGCCCTTTACGAGCTTTTTGTTGGATATGCCCCAGTTGATAAGGAGGGCAAATATTGAGGCAAACAGAAAATACACCTGTTTTGTTTTTCACAAAATTTGTTTAACCCAGTATCATAGCAATATATAAACAAAACTTATAGGTTTGCAGTATTTTTATTTTTATATAAAAAAATATTTTTCGTCAATATTTTTTATTGTCCTATTTTTATTGTCAAATATTTATTGTCCTATATTTAGTATCAATGTTGAACGAATATAGGTAGTTTTCAAACCGAAGGCAGTGGTTCCCAAACATTTTTATCTGAGGACCAACTTTCATCCTAGATTTTATTTCCTGACCAACATAACAAATAATACAGGGTGAGTTTCTACTAAGTGCGTTAATTTTTACCAGTTATTCTACTCACTAAAAGGAACAAAAAATGACAAACAAAAATTTTCTATCCCCACCCGTTATGCTGTAATGGTCGATTATGTGAATCTTTAAAATTACCTGTAGTAGCTTCACTAAAACGAGCATAGAAATTAAGCCAATACACGTACAGCATAATAACTTATACCATGAAATGAAAAGAGCGTTAAATTTCCTACAAAACCATTGCAACACCTATAACATACAACCATATTTTCACCGTTTTATGTCTCACATAACATAAAATAAAAGTTTCAAAATTAATTCTTTACAACTTCAAAGTGGTTTTACAACTATACATACTTATGTGATGTTTTGTCAAATTACGTAAAAAACTTTCCCATTTCATGCCCTTTAAAATGGTGTAACCCATAAGGTATTGCTGTATTACAAGTTCGAAAAATTAGGTCAAAACCGCGTCAAGGTCAGAGTTTTCGGAATCAAAACATTGAACCAAATGTAATACAGTATCTGTTAATTTCTTTGCTATCTTATAATCAGCTGACATCTGATCAGCTGAGTGTTAAACTTTGTTTCAAAACCAGCTGGTTTCAATTGTTGGCTTGTAAATATTTAAATTATTAACTATTTCATGAACATACTTGGAAAATATTATAATTGTTTAGTGCTATATGTCGGTGTTCACCAAAAAAGTGTCTTGATATAATTTTATTTCCCGGGGTCTGTTCTCAAATGCAGCTGTAATCTGACGTGAATACAGTCGTCAATTTCCTAATAGGTGACTTTCAAATGAACGAATATTCATCAGTGTCCATACAAGTTTCCATGGGCACTAAACATGATTCTGTTGGGAACTTGATACAAGATGTGTATTGTGTATGTGTTTAAGAAGCTGTCAGATGTGTTGGGGTGGTTTGAGGACAATCCACGGACAAGAACAAGGACAGTCTCTCGTGACTTAGGTATTTCTCAGCTATTGAGAAAGGAAAAATTGCATCCCTACGAGTAAATCCCATTACTGTAATTGAAATGCAATAATCGATTTGAAAATATCATTCGGTCCTTTTAAGATAAAAAGAAAGATACTTTATTCTTAGTTATCATAAAACAAACAATTTGTTTGTTTTATGCTGGAAATATGTCAAATGTTTAATCTCTGCTTCCCTCGACCCATAGTTTGGGAACCGCTGGTCTAGTTAAAGGTGTGTTATTTTACTGTGTCTCATGGAACTTATGTAGTATGACTACTGAAAGGTGAAGGTAGAGTTGAGTTGAATGTTAAGCACGACCCAGACCACAATCAGATAGCCTACAATTCTGGTTTTAACCCCGTAAGCTAAGTTACGTAGTAAATAGATAGTCTACTACACTGGCCGTCTATGCCAGAGAATGTGAATGAAACGTATTTTTATGTTGCCTGTGACAATTGAAGTGTCTAGATATGTCAAACACCCATGCCGCAGCAAACCTGCAGATGAATTTCTATTTACCTGGATAGATTTCCACTTAAATTGTCAGATTTATTTCCCATTTAAATGGCGTTAATTTTAATTAGTACCTATGTTTGCTGCTTCAGGGGAAGGTAATGGGATTTCTTTATTGAAATGTTGATTGCTTAGTATGAAATTACTCTTGGCCAAGAGTTACTACAGTGTCCGCGATTGTGTCGCTGACAGATTTAGTTAATTTTAAAATGTTGTTATTAATCTAGTTTGGTTGGACCACCATTGGTTTACTTTTAATTTTAGACGTAAAGAGTTTATGGCCTGAATACCAACTCAAAACGCAAAACATCTATTGGTGATTTAATTATTCGCGCATAACAATCTAAGTCTCCTTTATTTAAGCAAAGAGGAAATCTGTATAATAGCATCACAAAAATTATTTAAAAAGAAATTTAAAAAAATTTAAACAAACTTTAAAAACTTAAAATGGTTTACAATATCTGCATAAACCTTGGTTGCTGTAGTTGCAACTAGTTCTTGTTCTTACTTTAAATCATCATCAAGCCTACAAGGTTCAATAAATAACAATCTTGAAACACAGGAAAATAAAACGGACATGTTTAATTTATGATATACCCAGTTACAAGAACAGTTTTAATCAATTAATTACCTTTTTGGTTTTTCTTGCCTTGAAGTTCTTGTTGGTTTTTGATACCTGATGCGCATTTCGCCACAGGTTGTGGCATCTTCAGAGTTCACTATCCTACACTTACATTCTAATATATAAACAGTTTATATACACAAGAGTCACTGTACATTAATTAATTGATTAAAACGGACATGATATTTCTTAAAACACAAAACAAACAAAGGGACATTACATTGACAAAGCCAATGTGACCGACTGAAGTAAACACACACACAAACACACCATTTATCAAAATCTGTTGTGCATCTTCTAATGAAGTGACTACTTCTCACCTTGTAGGCTTGATGATGGTTCAATGTAAGAACAAGAACTAGTTGCAACTACAGCAACCAGGGATTACTATGCAGGTCTACTGTAAGGGTGTATTGTGTCTAGGGTGTACTGTAAGTTGTGAAGTGGCCACTGCATTCATTTTTAGCTTTTAAATAATTCCTGTCTTGTGTTTACAGCTGTACCCTATTGGCTCTGGATGATGGTCAAAGATTTTGTGAGTGGAACAGAAATGGTCTGGGAATTGACTACCAGATTCTGGCAGGTCCAAGCTTCATCGCAGTCTACACTGTAGTTGGAGTCTTCCTGGGCATTGCTGCGGACAAATATCGCAGGTTTGACAATAACCTGTAATGGATTAGGTACTAGAGACAACATCACCAGTCCGAGTCTGGTGTATGCATTGTTCTAAACAAAGCCCTCTCATTTTGGTAAATGTTAAATGCTTGGAAGGAATCTTAATAACTATAGTTCCAGGAAGGTATGTAAGTATTATTCAATAATGTGCGGAATTGTTAGAGCTACAAGTATATTTTCAATGGAGAAGGGAATCCCCCTTCCAAAAAAATATTTTAGCAATATTTTAGTTGTTAAAGGTGTACATGATAGACTGGGCAATTTTTATTTAAAATTATAACTCATTTCGAAATAATTATAGAATACATTAATTATATGGATATAGTTTCAGTTCTCAAGGTAAGGGGCATGACCACCTTTTGAGTGCCACTGCCACTGAAAAGCTACTACAGTATGGCTCCTGATACTTTGAAATTCAACACAGCAATATAGGAAAACTATTTTCACTTCACAATTATTTTCCTCTTTTTTCATACATAGAATATACACAGGATTATTTAGTTTCAGATGAATGAAATATCATAAACTGTTTACATTCTTACATCCTCTACCACTTAATTTCATTTGTTTTAGCAGTAGCAATTTTGCTTATCCAAATCATTCCCTGATTCAAAATGGGTCCAGTTCCAATAATTTTTGGACTTTGGAGACCCTATTGTTACAATTTCATTTATTATGTATAACAACTAACCATAACTACTATTTAAATTAACTGTGAATGTTCATTTTTCAGTAAACATCTTTAACAGGATCCGTCTAGGATGCTTAGTTTTTCATTTTATATAATGTATACATTCATAAATTATAAAAAATATCCCTTTTGGGTAAATTCATTAAATACAAGGTTATTAATCTAAATTTCCAACTATTTATAATAAAGTTTTATGTATCTTAGTCTTGTCTTTCTCTGTAGCTATCTTTCGGCTGAACCATGTGCATACTAGATTTTTTCAAACAGTTTAACTGAGTGACGGATAACCACTTCTCTACCAATTATTGTCATTGCATTTGTTAATACTTTTATTTGTACTTACCTATATAATGAGGAATCTTTCATATTTTTAAGGTTTACAAAATAACTCTTATGTATTTTTTGCAGAATACCTATGGTGGGAACATGTGTACTACTTTGTGGTATATCCATTGTCTTAATGGGAGCCACAAAACAGTTCTGGCATCTTATTCTACTCAGAATGATCTTCGCTGCAGGGTACGAAACATTTAATATTACTCAAAAGGAAAACAAGCATTAACAGGTTTTACTGAGATAGCAATAGGTAGCTTGCCTGAATTGAAGAGTCCACCCAGTCACAAGAAACACAACAATTTGAATATTTTATTGTAACTGACAAAATTTTCAACTTAGGAAGATTTGAGTTGGAAGTTGGAAGTGCTACCAATGCCAGTCATATTCTAATGTTTGTGTATAGCGCCATGGTGGACTTTTCCCCTTTCACTTATAACTGCTAATTCTACCAAAAATCCTTTAAATCCTAATTGCTTGTGTCCTAAGTTAGATTCTTAACTGGAAGGATGTTCCCACATTTCCATTTTTTAAGGTTATTCATTTTAAATTGTAAGTCTCTCCAGTTTTGGTTTGAGAACTGTGGCAGGGCATAAAATAACATGTTAACTGGGCGACACTTGTGCTGAGGTTTTGTCGCCCAGTGACTATGGGTGGTGCCGGCATATTTTTTTAATGATTCACATTTAAATGTATCGAAATTTTAAAAATAACATTATGTAAATATTTTAGAGTATTGAGCTATGGTTTTGGCCCAAGAGGTTGTGAAGGGAGCCTTGGCCTGTTACAACTTTCTAGATTACGTAATTAAGTGAGATTATATGGACTATTTACAAGCAAATATAATAAAAAAAACCATTAAAAGATACGTAGAAATGTGTGATTTTCACTTTAATATATGCAAAAATTTCCGGGGGGGGGGTTCCCTCGGACTTCCCTTTTTGATAAGGGGTATTCCATACCCAGACCCACCCGTAAGTCTGGCGCCACTGTCGCCCAGTGGAAATCCCTTAAAATATGCTCTGAACTGTGGATATATCATAAGGATAAAAAGGATATAATTGAACACCTATAACTAATGCAAAGAATAAAGTGTACAAAAAATATAAAATATGTCTTCTAATACTTGTGGTGTATTTATACTGTTTACATCCACAAGACAGTAAATATATAAGTACATGGTATTACAATGGCAATCAATTCCAACCAGTCACATGGGTCAGGTCGTCATCTGAGTCATCTAAAGATTACATCTATAAATTAATTGTAAAGCAGACAAAATTAAGTTTCCAGTACAGATTAAAAAACGGCACATATTGTTTTCATAATAAATACACCTGCATTGATCCACTAACATTGATCGTGATTCATTGTTGTTTTGATTGTAGATAATTGTTAGATTTGGAAGTCAACACACAATGACAATGAGTCAATCGGAAAGTTAAAATGTGATTTAAAATAGCCCAGAAAACCCTAACTGTCTAAAGTTTTCTTTTGATAGCGATGATCCATGGTATGATCCACAATATTTCATCAATCCTGTTATTGTTAACTCAAAAAGTGATGTAACAGAAGCCATACTGGCAACAACATTTGTAAGCTGAATATATGAGATAGTAATTGCTAATCAATTTGTGAAATTAGACAAAAAAGTGTTTATCACTTCGCCAAGTGGCTTTTTTGTCTTCCGACATTTTTCAGCCTCAGGTTGACCTTTTAAACCTGAACTGGTTTTGAAACATCACTTTTGGGCCTAGTGATGCAATTTACTTGACTTATTCTTATTACTACTATTATTATTATAGTTAGAGCTATTAAAGCACCTCCAATGAATGATCTGAAAAATTAACCTCACAATAAATTGAAGTTCACGATTTTAATTTTTTTCAGAGAGGCTGGTCTTAACCCTATGTCTACAGGAGTGTTATCAGACATTTTTTCAGAGGTAAACCATATATAATTAAATATTAAGTAAGCATCTAAACATATCATTTTACTACTCGAGTCAAAACCTTTGTTCAAAGTTACTTATTGGTGATGAATCAAGAATCAAGAATTTATTACAACAAATTACAAAAAGAACATTTTGTATAGTTGAGATCAATGAGATTAACTTAGGCTAAGAAGTCTGAATAATCTGCAAGGATAAAATGTCCAGTGGATAGCATATTAATTAGGGCCTATAAAATTCAATAACTTAGGCTACAAATAATTTTAACAACAATGTAAGTTACATATGTCAGTTGCAATGATGACGAGTTTATTTTGTTTAAGAAATTATTGCAGCCTTCAAAATTATTACGTTCTGAGTCGGATACTAAAGGATAGAAAAAAATTACAGATCCCAAAATATTGTGAAAACTTTGTTCATTAATAATTAAGTCTACTGTCTTACAACTTATGTATTTATGGAAGACAGTTAATACACCACCACAATGAATTTCACATAACCATTTGGGCATATTTCCATAGTTGCTTATGATGTTGTTTCTTTCTCAGGGATTATGATGTTTGTTAATTTTAGATGTATTTTTTCTGAAATTTTATTATTTTTATAGAATTTTGGAAATTAAGCCTGTTTGGGGAATCAGCATGCTCAATACACTTTTCAATAGTATTGCGTATCGTAGATGTAAAAAAGTTGTTTTGTCTTGATCTTGATAACAATACAATAGGGAATGAACTGATAGGTATTACAATGCCAGGGTTCCAGTAGTACAAGAATATCTTCTGCTTCTGCTTACTACTGCCCTTGAATTTCTCCAAGTTGATGTTGTATATCCAAGTTTTTGAAGTATTTTTTTTATTGTTTGAATACAAGGTAGGTTTGTCAATTAATTTGTGAAGGTTGCCTAGAGAGGTAAAAAATTGGAACTGATCTCATTTTCTGACCTTTTTTGTTTTCATTCCCTGTTGGTTTGTAGTTGGCAGGACAACTTTTTGTGAATCTGTGAGTTATTTTTAGCTCTTCCTTTGTTTTTTATTTTGTTAGTCCCTACTTGGGTTTTCATTTTGTTTAATATGTGAGATTAAGTTTCTATAGCTTGGGAAAAAGCTGTTACAAATAAAGTTTCACAAGCGTGTACCGATTATTGATTATTTACCTTTATTTGGATGAGACGTGTGTGTCCGAAATATTGGACACAAAAGTATAGAAAAACCAAACTTTCACTTACATCCAGGCAAGTAAAACTCAACAAAATTGCATAAAGATATATTTGATGTGTGCTGCTTCTAGGAAATCAAGTTTAGAACGCTTATGTTGACCAATGATGTTAGTGTGGTAGACCAATGCTGTTAGTGTGGTAGACCAATGCTGTTAGTGTGGTAGACCAATGATGTTAGTGTGGTAGACCAATGCTGTTAGTGTGGTAGACCAATGCTGTTAGTGTGGTAGACCAATGCTGTTAGTGTGATAGACCAATGATGTTAGTGAGGTTGACCAATGCTGTTAGTGAGGTTGACCAATGCTGTTAGTGTGGTAGACCAATGCTGTTAGTGTGGTAGACCAATGCTGTTAGTGTGATAGACCAATGCTGTTAGTGAGGTTGACCAATGCTGTTAGTGTGGTAGACTAATGCTGTCAGTGTGGTAGACCAATGCTGTTAGTGTGATAGACCAATGCTGTTAGTGAGGTTGACCAATGCTGTCAGTGTGGTAGACCAATGCTGTTAGTGTGGTATACCAATGCTGTTGTGGTAGACCAATGCTGTTAGTGTGGTAGACCAATGCTGTTAGTGTGGTAGACCAGAATGCTGTCAGTGTGGTATACCAATGCTGTCAGTGTGGTCTGCTGTTAGTGTGGTAGACCAGAATGCTGTCAGTGTGGTAGACCAATGCTGTCAGTGTGGTATACCAATGATGTTAGTGTGGTAGGCCAATGCTGTCAGTGTGGTATACCAATGCTGTTAGTGTGGTAGACCAATGCTGTTAGTGTGGTAGACTAATGCTGTCAGTGTGGTAGACCAATGCTGTTAGTGTGGTAGACCAATGCTGTCAGTGTGGTAGACCAATGCTGTTAGTGTGGTATACCAATGCTGTTAGTGTGGTATACCAATGCTGTTAGTGTGGTATACCAATGCTGTTAGTGTGGTAGACCAATGCTGTTAGTGAGGTTGACCAATGCTGTTAGTGTGGTTGACCAATATGCTGTCAGTGTGGTAGACTAATTCTGTCAGTGTGGTATACCAATGCTGTTAGTGTGGTAGACCAATGCTGTTAGTGTGGTAGACCAATGATGTTAGTGAGGTAGACCAATGCTGTTAGTGAGGTTGACCAATGCTGTTAGTGTGGTTGACCAATATGCTGTTAGTGTGGTAGACCAATGCTGTTAGTGAGGTTGACCAATGCTGTTAGTGTGGTTGACCAATGCTGTTAGTGTGGTATACCAATGCTGTTAGTGAGGTTGACTAATGCTGTTAGTGTGGTATACCAATGCTGTTAGTGTGGTAGACCAATGCTGTTAGTGTGGTAGATCAATGATGTTAGTGTGGTAGACCAATGCTGTTAGTGTGGTAGACCAATGCTGTTAGTGTGGTAGACCAATGCTGTTAGTGCGGTTGACCAATGCTGTTAGTGTGGTTGACCAATGCTGTTAGAGTAGTAACTCAATTTTTGTTGATCTGACTAGTGACTTATAAAGAGCCGAGAAAGTAAGTGGATCATGGTATAGCTCACAGGTGCTAGTTATCAATCCCAATGTACTAAAAGACCTATTGACCATGTTCACTATCCCACATAGCACCGAATATTTATTTGATATCAAATAGCTATCAAATTTTTGACATTTGAATATCAAATTGATATTCACGAACATTCGTTTGATATCAAATAAACGTTCAATTTAGGTTCAAACGTCACTCAATTTTACATCAAATAAATATTCAAATTGAATATAAAATAAATATCAAATTTGAGATTCATAAATTTATTGGTAAAATATAATAAAGAGAATATGATTGAATTTACATTCACATTTTAAATATCATGGTGATAAATATTGATATAACATTTTTGACATTCGAATATTAAATTAATATTCGCGAACATTCATTTGATATCAAATAAATGGTCAATTTAGGTTCAACCTCACTTAATTTGACATTAAATAAATATTAAATTGAATATCAAATAAATGTCTCATACATTTATTGGTAAAATATGTTTAGAAGAATTAGGTTGCATTTTTTCACATTTCAAATTTCATGGCGATTAAAATAATATCAGTTCAGACTTCTTTACTGTTCTTACCTTGATTTGACTTATTATTCTGAAGTTATAGGTAGTTTGTTAAAGTTCTTGGGCGACCCAAAAATGTAAATATATATATATATATATTTCTTATTTGACAAAACATTAACAAAAGTATCACAAAACATATTTGTTTAAAACAAAATTGCATTCAAGGAAAACATTTTAAAGAAAAAAGTTTGTTTGTATGATAAAATAAGTTTAATTAAAAATTATTTAAACACAAATATAAAAAAGATATGTACAATTTACAAAAAAAATAATTCTGGTCTTCTTCATCTCCCAAATGGCCTTCTTGAGTTTTCTATTGTTCCTGTAAAAGAGGTTCAACAGAGTTATTTTCTAAGACAGCTATAGATAAAATATAATATGTTAGACAAGGGGTCTCCAACCCTTTTTCCTCGGTGAGCACTTTTTTTGTCTAAAAACGCCACTGATTTAGCGACTAACGTTAATTGTTCGCTACTCTATCGAATCACATCATCTACTATCGATGCGATTGTAGTTGTCGTTTGTCACAAGGTAAAGGCTTTTTGTGATACGGACGAAATGAGAGCATTCTATTATAAAATTAAAATGTCGTAACCTAACCAAATTAACCAAACTTGCTGATTGTGAAAAAATTGAATTAAGGTTTACTACGGACAAAATGAGAGCATTCTATTATAAAATTAAACTGTCATAAGCTAACCTAACTTGCTGATAATATAAAAAAATATACAAGATAAAAATTGAATGAAGATTAGATTTAACAAGGTTAGGTTTGCAGCCATGGAGAAGGTAAAAAGTTTTTTTGAGCATACGTCAATAGTATAGGATAAAGAAAATAAGTTTGCCAAATTTTATCAAAATCTATCCATAAACAAATAAACTACATAGTTTCCTTTTTTAATAATCTAAAATATAGTTCTGTTCATAAAATAAAATTATAAATGCCTCTAATTCTAACGAAAGATGTGCAATTAAGAAGTAATCACATTCTAAGCTAAATCTTTGACAAAAAGTTCAATGATTTTTTTAGTGAGAATAGGCTATAAAATTTGACACTTAAAATGTCAGCTAGTTTAAGATTTCAATTTGTAGTTCTGCCAATTAGGATCAATTAAAAATATATATATTTAAATGAATCTGCCGCTACTTGACTACTACTAATATTCCCCTAGGCCTATTGAGAAAAAATTAGCAAGTGAGAGACATTTACTATGTTCCTATTTAAATATGTTAACCTGCCAACTTGGAGACAGGGTATTGTACACAAATTTTGTTGAATGGGGAAGAGACAGTTAATTGCTCTTAATTATGGTATGAGCCTCGAGGTAAATAAATATCCCATGGCTGAGCCTGCATTCATTGACAAAGTTCTCTTTTTACACCTCAAGGAAATCACGGTCAACAATGAAGGGTGTTGCTGGGATTGCAAAAGACAATCACGGCACCGTTGAGACTGCAGTATAATATGCTCGTGAGTCTTGGCGAGATCACGGGAGATGATCACGATATAGCTGAGACCACCTGACCACACGTGTTTACGCAATCGTGGGAGAATATAATTGGTGTTTGCTATAAAAAACAATAATTATCAAAAACGTATGCTGGCTTTCTGCTGGCTGGAATAAAACTGCACGAGGGCCGGATGTAGCCCACAGGCTGTAGGTTGGGGACCCCTTCGTTAGGCATTTTTAAGACCTATTTTTTTACTATACATGTACTTTATAATTAAATTTGTCGATAAGGCATTGAGTTCTTGACAATAAAGAAAAAAGAGATGGATAAAACCGCAGATTAAGTTTTGCTCATTTGCATAGCCTGTCACTGAAAATTCACAATTTGAAAAGAAAACATCACAGTAGTTAGATAAGTTCTATATTAGGTAATTAGATAAGCAATCTTTTCTTTAACCTAAATTATAAATAACACAATAAATTTACCTTGCATCAATACTAAACTTTGCTGGGCGACCCCAATTCTTGATTATAGTAGCAACAACATATATTTCCATTACACCACGATCCTAGTGTTCTTGCGTACCGGTTCTGCCTCTGTATAAAAGAGATTAGTATTAGCACTAGAATTTGTATATATTTTAATTTTCCTGATCAACACCCAGGATAGCCTACAACTAGGTACACATATTAAATTGTTAGTGAAATCTATTTTATATTTTGATGGCATTTGCTTCTTTTGAGTAGCCTTGTTAAAGCTAAATCTAAATCTGAAAATTGAAAATTTTGACCTAGGTAGTGGCAAAAGTAATCCTCAGTCACTTGAACGGACAAATATTGGGGTGAGCACTGACTGAAATGAGTGCAACGGTCGGATGTAGTTTGGTGTGTGTATAGGCCTATGTGTGCGTTTAAAAAAATTCAACTAATACAGTTTTCTTTTGCACAAGTTAGCACTGCCGGAATATTTATATAGTGTAAATCAAAGACTTCCTGTATAAGTGGGTCACAAAAAAGAGAAACTCTCTTAACTGTGTGATGAACCTTAGGCTACGTTATTACCCAATAGGTACCTATCATGAATTAGGTTGTGTTTTGGTGGTAGAGCCTAACTTATCTACAGTTACTAAGAGAACCTGCGATATATTATCGGACGGTATATATATCTGATTTGATATTAATATTGCAAAACCAATTCACCAAATCTGCAAATCATAACTCAATTTGATGTTTACATAGTGAAAAAACATTGGGAACGATGTATTGAATCGGATAATTATTGATATATAATGTTATTCATCCGATAATATATCGCAGGTTCTCTGCGGAACTGTACCCGTTATGGCAAAAAAGACATACACAGTCATGGCGAATCAAACAGAAAAATTGAAATAAAAACACCTAAGTTTGAAACTTTATTTTAACTTTGAGAAAACCTAATTGAAATATATGTATGTCTACCTATTATTAATGTCTGATTGTAAATAAAAAAAAAACTTACGCAAGATAGCTGGCTTCAGATGCAGATTGCAAAAGAAAAATTTATTCCTCCTTCCCAGCCTACAGGCTGCTAAACAGCCACTTTGTCACTCGGGAGAATTGGTACCGTAGGCAAATTATTCACTGCTACCAAATAATAACTTCCACCAAAGCTGCAGAGTTATCAACTGAAACAATGGAGAGAAAACTACTTTTAGTTAAATTCATGCATACCTTTCTCTGGCCTAAATATGTATCAAGATTAGTTAGGCCTAATCATTGGTTGGTAAAGGAAGCAGACAACAACTAAAATACAAAAGAATAAGAGACAATACAGGGGTAGACTTTCGTATCTGTTGTCAAAAACAACCGAATGAAAATATCGATCGTTATAGCCTATGTTCATTCAGTTGTTTTTGACAACAGATACGGAAGTGTACCCCAATTCAGTTTAAAAGGAAAATGGATTTCAAATAGGCTAGGCTATTTCTTTTATAATACCGGTAAATTGTAACCTGGTTGAGGTAGAATATGTTAGGCCTAGGCTAGCCTAAATTAAGTTAACTTATTCTTGATGGTGAATTTACATAAACTTAAGTTAGTGACTGACGTAAAATATAACCCACATAACTTAGTAATATTTCAAAATTAGCCTAACAAGGTATTAGAGGTCGTGCGGAACGAGGTGAAGCCTGAGATTTTCGGCGGGAACGGTCTAAAGCGGGGAAATCCATGGTGGGGGTAGGAGACGAGCCGATCGTCGCCTCGCATAGCGACACTTCCCCCACCACACCACTATTCCCCTCCAAGCTTCACCTCGTTCCGTACGACCTCTACAACACAGTATGGTATTCCATTTGCCTTGTAAACCAGTAAGTTAGTCCTACTTACTAGCCTATATATTGAACACTATTTTCATCCGGAAGTTAAATAAATAACATAACATAGTTAATAAATAGGGCTATTTGCCCTTTGAAGCTAAATAAACTACTGGTTCAGTAAGAACTAAGCAAGCCGCCTAACTTAGTAGCTTACGCCTAGGCCTAATTAGTATGCAGAAAAATACTTCCTCTAAAACAGATTGCCTATTTTGAGGTTTCAGATTTATCTATTTATACTTAAGTTAAGGCATTAGGAATGATAAGTTGGCCAATTTAATTTGTACAGTAGCTTAACTTAGGTCTAGGTAAGGCCAAGGCCTAAAATACGTCTATGTTACTAGGTATAGTGACTTATACTTACATACTCCAAGGATCAAAACGTGAAAAGATGTTCGGTGTAGGTTATGCCAATACCCAGTCACAAAAATAACAACTCTAAACTAACAGTGACACACACTAAACAAAATATCAGCACACATAAGTTAACTGATTTGAGGTTATGTCTTGTTCTTGAATCTTGATACTCTTGTTGCTTCCATAGTATTTTCACTACTTGTGTAGCCTACTCAACAAGTTAGTTGTCATAGGTACATTTTACATAAATCGTGTACTTTCCCTCAAAATGGGCAATTTGTTGGTTAATGGTTAATAAATAAATAAATCCACACCGTGAGTAAACTGGCCACCACTGGTCGCGCGGATTTTGTAATTTGTTTTGTTTTGTTTGCTGAGTTAGGTTAGAATTAAGTTGGTGTTTTGTCTTCAGTCTTCCTCTCTTCCTTTCATACGAATGGGCCAAGTCAAGCTCAAACTAGATACTTAACATATTTTTAGAGTTATATTACACTTAAAAAAATTTAAATTTACGTTTGGTTTAATTTACTAGTAAAAATAAAATGATAAGGCCAATCGTTAAGAGTTTGACTTTTTTATTAATAAACAAAACTTTTAAAAAAGCTGTGTTTCCTATTCACTCTTCTTGAAATGTGTAGTAAGCCTAGATTCAGAAAAATATCAGATGTTCCAACAACTCCCCCCCGCCCCCGAAAAGTCAAAATCCATCATCAATTAATTAAAAATTACAGTGTTCAGTGTTCCTTCCTATTATTAATTATTTTGAGATAATTGACCTCCGACCTCCATGTTACAAACTGGGGCCCATTTCATAATAAAGTACAAACTAATATTATTAGTAAATCAGCTGATTGCCCAATGCAAATCTAATGGAAATAACAAGTTACAAGCAGGGCCGATTTACCGAATAGGCAAGGTAGGCACGTGCCTAGGGCGCGAGGCAATTGGCTTTTTTGGGGGGCGCCAAAAAATTTGAAAAAAGAAAAAAAATTGTGGCCGTTTTTGCATGTGATCGCGGTAAACTGATAATCCCTTGCGGCCGTGAAGACATTGTACAGTCTCTACAATTGCGGCAAGATGTTAATTATTTCCCACGATTGTATATACGTCATCATCGTTCGTCTCCCGCGATCGCGGCAAAGTTCTGACTATTTCCAGCGGATGTGTGGACATAATTATCGTCTTCCTTGATCGCGGCAATATATGAACACATCCCGCGGTCGTGATGAGATTATCACCGTCTACCGCGAATGAGGCAAAATTGTAATCTTTTCCCGGGGTCGTGTGGACATTATCATCTTCTTGCGTGATCACGATAAAATTCTGATAATCCCTCACATCCGTGAAGACATCATCGCCTCCCGTGGTCGTGAGGCATTGCCATCCTCTCCCGCCATTGCGACAAATGGTAATCATCTCCCGCGGTTGTTTGGAGATCATCATCGTCTTTCACGAATGAGGCAAAATTCTGATCTTTCCCGTGGTTGAGTGGACATTATCATCGTCTTACGCGATTGCGGTAAAATTCTGATCATCCCTCGCAGCCGTGTAGAGTAGACATCATTATTGTAACTCCCGCGATCCTGTAGACATCGCAATCGTCCCCCTCTTTCGTGAAGACATCATATAATCGTCTCCCTCGGTCGTGAATACATCGTAATCGTCTCCCGCAATCGTGAAGACATCGTAATCGTCTCCCGCGATCGTGAAGACATCGTAATCGTCTCCGCGCGATCGTGAAGACATCGTAATCGTCTCCCGCGGTCGTGAAGACATCGTAATCGTCTCCCGCTGTCGTGAAGACATCGTAATCGTCTCCCACTGTCGTGAAGACATCGTAATTGTCTCCCGCGATTACGGCAAAATATTAATAATATCCCGCAGTTATGTGGATATCATTATCGTCTTCCGCGATCGTGGCATATTTCTGACTGTTTTCCGTGGTTGTGTGGACCATGATCATATCCCGCGGTCGTTTAGTCATTATCATTGTCTCGCGCGATCGCGGTAAAATCATGATCATATCCCATGGTCGTTTAGACATTATCATCGTCTCATGCGATCGCGGCAATATTCTGATTATCCTTCACGGCTCTGTGGATCTCATTATCGTATTGCGCGATCGCGGTAAAATCATGATCATATCCCGCGGTCGTTTAGATATTATTATCATCTCATGCGATCGCGGAAAAGTTCTGATCATCCCTCGAGGCCTTGTGGAGACATATTATCGCCTCCCGTCTCCCGTGGTCACGGAAATGTCACTGTTGTAAATTGACAATTCCAGGTAGAAATAGAAAATTCACACATAATTCCTGGTTCAAAAAAATTCACGCTTAATTCCCGGATTTCCCGGTTGGTGGTCACCCTGTTATATATTGCAAAGGGGCGCTACTATTAGTTGTGCCTAGGGCGCTGACAGGGTCAAAAACGGGCCTGGTTACAAGTTGTAACTTGTAACTTGTAGTTTATTATGAAATGGGCCCCTGTAGGCTGGGGACTAATTCTTTACTCTAAAAAATTTAAAAAGTTAAATCAAAAAATTTTTAAAACTAGTATATTTGGAAATTTTCAAAGAGAAAATCAAATTTTTAACATTAAGAATATTTAGATAATATTCTAAATTTGATGTTATTTGACTTTGATATTTTGAAGATACAATAAATATTCAAAGTTTGACATTGTTTGACTTTGACATTTTGAACATTAAATGAATATCAAATAAATATCAAATTTTTGATTTGACATAGTTTGATATATTGAACGTTTATTTGATATCAAATAAATATTCTGTGCTATGTGGGATATGTTCATTAAACTGTAAGTCTGATGTCATGATAACTCCTAAATCTTTAAAACGGTTTACTCTTACTAAAATCAGTTTTGCCATTGGTTTTATTATGGGAAAGCACTGGGATTTAGTGATCTATCTTATAAAAAATTACCTTGCTGATAAACATCAGCTTAAAATTGCAATCATTACAATTATCACATAATCATTACTCTTCTTATATAATCTTAAACTACAACTTCAAAGTATGTTACTCTACAACATACAGGAGGATAATTTGAAGAGTTATCTATTTAATTTCAGGAGCTTAGAGGTTTGGTGATGTCCATCTTCAACTGGGGAATCTACGGAGGAATCGGTTTATCTTTCCCTGTGGGGCGTTATATTACGGAGCTCAATGCTTGGATGTTGGTAAGACTCTTTATTACTTATTGTATTTCTTACATGTTAAACAACATAAAGAACAAATAAAATAATATATTATATTTTACTTATATTACCTTTTTTTAAAATAATTATTACGGTATGTTGGCATTTCAATGTTGGTCACTGGTAAGTATGGCAAAGGTTATTAAATGGGCTGATTGAGCAAATGTGCATGTGTTTGTTATCCTTTCTGCAACCAAGCAGAAATTGAAAAACCATCTAATTCAATTACTTCCAAAACAAAATAAAATATAGAATTTATTACTCTCTTATATGACAGTTCTTGGACTCTATAGTTAGGATAAAATATTAAAGAAATATGTTTGGATGTATGTATGGATAAAAACAAATGATTGAATATGTTTTACTGTTCAGATAATGGTTAATATTGATGTAGTGTTTGGATATTCTTTCTAAGGGTTATGCTGTGCAATTTTAGCCTTAAATAATAAATTTAATGGATATTAAATACTTTTTAATGTAACAATCAAGAATAAAATATGCCCATTTTTGCTGGGAGGTTCGGTTCTTTGGTTTTGGTTGAAATTAATGTTTATAAAATCGCAAATGCAAAACATAAAACATAAAAACATCAACCAAGAACCTGAAGAAATCCCTGACAGCCTGGCTAAAGAACATACCCTACTACACAGAAATGGAGTATCCAATCAATTTGAACACATAATTTTTAATGTATTGTACTATTCTCCACGAATATGTCAATAAAGAATATTGTCTTTTGTGTAAAGGGATGGCGAGTGGCATACTATGGGAGTGGGGTCATCGCTCTTCTGATTGCGGTTCTAACATTCCTGACCCTTAAAGAGCCTCAGAGAACTGTCATTGGAGAGGAAACCGAGGAAGGAAGTGATACAAACGTCACATCCAAGAACAAAGAAAGCGCGTGGAAAGTGATGTTGCAGCCGAGGTTTATTATGCTATGTATTGCTGCATCTATTAGACATACTGGTGGGTAAAAGTGTGTTACAAAAATATAAATGTTAACTGGGATTAGATAGGCCTACTCACTTCACAAAGTCAATGTGATTTGTTTGCTTATGTTTTTGTTTGTGATCCATTTAAATGATGATTGGGAAAACTATTAAAACATTGGTCCATAGGTATGGTATATTTCATTACTAGGACCGAAAGTGGCATCTTCCAACGCGTGCTCAAGTTTCAAGTGTGAGGCAAAGCCGAGCACAGGAAAAATTAAATTTCAGGTGCGAGGCAAAGCTGAGCATGTGAGAGTTATTTTCACATACAAGTCGAAGCCGAGGACAGGAATAATGGAGCAAGCGCCGGAAAATAGCTTTCGGTACGAGTTATGAACGATACTTTTCATCACGACGCAAAAATACACACATACAGAATAACATATCTCAGTAGAATTAAACTAGTTTTAGACTACTCTTTATCATTGAAAATACACTTCACAACGTGCATTATACGGTTTCATAATTGTAGATTGTTTAGATAAATATATTAATAAACTTTGTCACTTACTTTGGACTTAACATTTTGCAATTTGTACCACCAGCTTCTAAGCTTTCTGTATTCCTCTTCTTTTCTTTCCCATGATTTATCTGGTGGAAGGTGTTATAGTTACCTCTGAAGCTGTTTTCATCAAATTATCAGTAATGTTATGTTAGGTAAACTTTGAGCAATTTCAAACATGGACATTGCTAAAACCACGGCTAATACGTGTTTCTGTATAGATTTAGATTGTGCAACAATAAAACAGCTGATTTAAATCATTAAAACAAACCTAACAAAACACTAGCGCACATAGTGGATAAATGGAGAACTAATTGAGAGCGAGGGAAAGTTAATTGAAAGCGAAGGAAAATCAGCTGATCGTTTTTCCCTCGCTCTAAATTAGAGCTTGGGAAACATTTACTTTCTTTCAAATCAGCTGTTATCGAAAATAGTGACTTTCGGTAAGGAGTGATGAAAAATATTTTTAACTTGGTAGTGAACAACTATTGGCACTATAGTTGTTCCTTTGAAAGCAAACATATAAAATTACTATACTTTTTTGCTGGTTTAAGGCCCGGTGCATATTGAGACGCAGTCAGCGCAACACAGGGTAGGGCAGTTTTTTGTAAACCACGTTTTCGCTAGGGTTTGCGCATATTGTGGCGCAGCCAGGGCAGGGCAGTGCAGTCCCGCACGTGGACTGCACACACTTGTGGCCGAGACACAAGTGCCAGCCTCGCATTGTTCACCTGCTCCGTGTTGACTAATGTTGAACAATAGATCTAGAGGTGAATCAATCAGGTGCATGTTTATCCAGTTTTGTTCGATACCAGTCATAGTAATATAATTACGAGAATGAAGACTGGCATGAAATACAGCAATATCTCAACATTGCAGATTTTTTTGCTTTTTTGTTGTTCTCTGGGTGAAGCAGTAACAATAAATCCAGATCAGCATCTGAATCTGACTCAGAACTCAAATCCAAATATTTGGACAATATGCTCACAAAAGAAACTATCACTCAGTATAGTGGTTTAAATTACCTTGTTACTGTCAAAACGATCCTTTGTAGTTTGTAAGACTACAGCCTGTTTCATGCTTCGAATGGAGGACATCATCAGGTCAGAAGAATGTCAAGTAGTCTTCATTGGATATTCCTCGTAGTGGAGTTCGTCAAAAGTTTAATAATAAATGGATAAGAAAACACATAACACACGGAAACACGAAACATTTAGTATTGGTCGACCAGACGACGGTAACAACACACTTGATAAGGCGCCGGCTGAGGGTGAGTCGCGACAATCATGCTCACGCCTCAGCCGGCGCCATATCACGTGTGTTGTTACCGTCGTTAAATAAACATTCTAATTGATGCACAAAAGTTCTACAGATATTGTTTATAACTGAAGACAAAAAAAATGGATTGGCAATAAGATGTTTAATTTTTCTGATAGCCAGCGATGGAAATTTGTCAAAGAGCATACGACAAATGTTTAGCAAAGAAATCCTTTTTTCAGGCAAAATATTAAATGTTCTTTAACACTCCCAATTTCAACTCGTTATTGTAGCACCATGGAGTCTGCAGGGCCTTGGCCACAACATTCAAAGGTTGGAATATAAATTTTACATAGATTTTCTGTGTCAAATCCTTTTCAGATAAGCCTCATAACTTTGTTTACAGTTATTGCAGAAAAATATATGATTGTTCAGGTGGTCTTTGCTTCGCCTACAACTGTGACTTGTTCTACAGAGATCAGTTTCCTCACATAGATCTCGGTGGGTGGCTGTTCTTCGTCACATTCATCATCGGTGGTCTTGGAGTCGTGTTTGGTGGAATTGTCTCTGATAAGATCGTTGCCAAGATGGGGATCAAGTCGAGAGTTGCCGTTCTTGCTATTAGTCAGGTGAGAATATTTTGGTGGGCGGTAGCGCTTACATGCATGAGTTACTGACACTGATGTTTTAAAGAATAATACAGAACTACAAGATTTATTGTGTCCAGTCCAGTCCTGCCTAAAGTGATTCCTCCTGCTGTAATTCCTTGAAGAAATCCAGTATCTGACGGGGTTATAACAGGAGAATATCCCTTGTCCCTACCTGGTACAGCCCCAGACAATCTTCCTACAGGTGCTTTGGGGTTTCCTCCCCTGATTGGCAGAATCGACATTGATTATTCTTGTTCCCCAGTGGTTGCTTGTCCACTAGCAGACACATATGTTTATCTGTGTATGTCTCTCTATATAAGAAAAGTGTAATGGATTATCACATATTTATGAAATTGAAATTTGATCAATCGTTGAATGATTTGTCAAAAATTCCATTTTTAAATTAAAGTGGCAGTTTCCCTTGCAGACTTGAAGTACAGTAACTAGATTGCTTTAGAAAATATTATAAACACACATTGAGAAATATCTAAAAGCCGGCACTAGTAGTAGGGATCCACTACTGATTTGGTGTTGGCCTTCTGCAACTGTAGTTCTGTGGGGTCATGCGCCTGGTTCTAGGAGATCCTTCAGACTCCAGACGAAGGCACTCAGAATTGTATCGTCTAGCAAAGCTGACGCCCACTGTAGACCTCTTTTCATGCATCTGGGAGTCATGACATTGTTCAGCCAGTACGTCTTAAACAGTGTTGTACACATAAAGAAAAACTTAGATGATTTTAGCTTCAGGGGTGACCCTTCATAGCTGCAATACTCGTAACCGGATCCAACTTGATCTTCCATCCCATCGGTTCAGTAAGACTGCAAATAGTTTCCCCACTCTGGCCATAAAGCTGTATAATAGTCTCAGTATTGATATCAGAGGCCTACCAGTTTAAGCGTTCGTAGCGCACATGTCTAGGGAGTTGAAGACTAGGCCCCTTTACTCCATCAGGGAATTTTTTGAAATTCCTGACTCAGTTTGGACATCATGATCCACCGCCTTGTATATAGTGTATATAGTGAAAGTTTAAGTTTTAATTTTTCATAACGCAATCTAACCAGCTAGGGCTGGGCAACGATGAAGAAAAAAAAATTGAGGCTGGCTGAAACACTTGTTTAAGTTATCAGAAATATGATATGGTTATATCTCTTAGACCACATTATTGTCTAAATTAATTCTTTCACTTCAGTTTACTATAGATATCTGAAGAAATACACACAGATGGTGGGGTTGTTTGTGCATTATGTAAAGAAGTATTTATTTTCTCCCATGTTATAAATTATATACTGTATATTTACTCTTAATATTGAAATCTAGACTAATATAATTACAATAGGCTATTTATACAGTCCTAAATTTTATATTTTATTTCACAGCTGATTTCAACACCTTTTGCGTTTGGCAGCATCTACATGGGGCCTGTTGGTGCAATGGTTACACTTGCAATTTCATATCTCTTTGGTAAGGTTATTCAAATTGATTTCACGTGCATGTATTACAGTAGAGCCTTAATAAATCAAACCTTAATAAATTGAAATCTATTAGCAATAGAATTTGTCAAATTCTTTTTAGAACTTGTCATTCTACCACATATTGTTTTACTTTTATAAATCAAAGGTTTCACAGATAGTACCTTACTTAGTCAAAGTTATGGGATCTATTGAGCTTTGGTTTTAACTCTATAGTTCAAATGTCCAGCAGAAAACAGTTAAACATTTGATTTGTGTATTATTCTGATCTTTTCAAATCAAAGTTTTAGTTAGAGAACCATAATATTGAAGTTTCATGCTACTGGATGAAATTCTGTAGCAAGAATAACAGATTTTATCTCAAAAGTAACAACATACCTCCCCTTCCCTTAAAAATATTCAACACTACCACAATGTATTTAGTCTGTTATCTGCATTTGTGTGGATTTGGGTTGTGTCTTTGTGAACTTTTGCATCTAGTGTATGTATTTATGAATCGGAAAATGTAAGTGCTTAGAACCTTTATAAATCTAAGTATTCAAAGATTTACCTTAATAATCGAATTTAAAACTTTAAAATACCTGATTAATTGAATGTTTGTCATTCCCCCTATAAGATAGTGTCCACTATAGTTATTACATTAAGTTCAACTTTCTTTCAAATTTTGTTAAATGCAAATGTTCACTTGTTTACTTAATTATGGTTCCAATAATAATAACTATCGAGATTTCAAAAAATATAGATGTGTAAGATTACCATCCCTGCGTTTTACAAGAAACAAAATCTTTTTGGCCAAAATAAGACTCTCTTAGTGATGTGAATGAGTTTTATTTTCTATGGGCCTCCTAGTTAGATAAGATAATACAAGCACAAAAGTACTTTATACAGTGGCTAAAACAAAACATAACAACAATAAATTAAGCTTTAAATTTTAGTTTAATACTTTGTTTTTCAGCTGAGATGTGGTTTGGAATACTATTTGCTATCCTAGTAGAGATAGTGCCATTGTCTGTGAGATCGACCACTGTTGGAGTCTTCTTGTTTGTTATGAATAATATCGGAGGTAACCTTCCCATTCTGCTTGAACCTGTCAGGAAAGCTACAAGCTTCAAAGATGCTCTAGCTATATTTTACGCTGGAGCCTATCTCGTCAGTAAGTAAAACTTTATTGGATATCTATATAATATTTGAAAATACCGTGAACCCTCTCTTTTTTACGATCCATTTAGTTAAGACAGAAATCTGTGTATGACCCTTGACCTTTTGATATAGTGAAGCAAGTGAAGCAGACATCCCATCTACAGGGGTTTTTTAACGCAACCCAAATTAGAAGTACCATTAGACACTGTTTAACGACAAAACAAGCTCACATTTTGGTATCCGTGTATTCTTTATTTTATTGCCAATCAGCTGATATGCATTGTTGCATAATTATCTATGAGTTTTGGTGTTATTGGGAATTTATTGTGAATAAGTCTCAACTTGGCATTTTCGTAAACTCTGAGCATGCAAAATAGTCATAGAAGGCTATATGAGGGGAATAGCCAAAATGACAAAGTTGGCTCACCCCCCCCCCCAAAAAAAAACAAACAAATAAGTGTTACTCAAGTTTATGTGTATGACATGTTCTCGATCTAAGTGTGTGTGTACAGTAAACAAGCTAGCATGTCTCAAAGTGTGTGGATGTTCTCTTGACAAGTGTAAGAACATATATTCAAACCAGGACAATGAGCAGGTAACAGTATAACTCTTGAATATATATTCTGTTTAATTTATACTAAAAGGTGAGTTAGACCATAGACAATAGAGTAAATATAGACTGTCAAAGAAAGGTTTTGCGATCTGCCGCTAGAGCCTTATCGCCGTTCGATATCGGTTATCGGTATTCGATTCGGTGTCGACCACGACTACTCGCCAGCTGTTACCAGCACTACCACTCTTGCAAACGAAATGATTACTATATCGCTAGTATCGTCTTCTGCAATCGCGTCAAAATCATGAACGTCTTCCGCGGCTTTGTAGACCTAATCATTGAATGCCGTGGTCACGAAACGTCATCGTCGTCCACGATTGCGGCAAAATTGTGAACATCTTCAGCGGCCGTGTAGACATTATCGTCTTACGCGATCGCAGAAAAGACGTGATCATTTTTCCCGTGGTCTCGAAAATGACGTCTATTATAGCATAAATAGCACTGTCGCGGTTTAAGGCCATCTCCCGCGGTCGTGTAGACATCATCATCGTTTTGCGCCGTCACGGAAACGTGATCGTTGTCTAGAGCGATCGAGATAAAATCATGAAATTTCCCGACTTTGATATCAAAATAAAGACTAAATCCCAACTTTTCAAGACCATTTTGAAATTCAATACTAATACCTGACTTTCCCGTTTTCCCCGCATACTAGACACCCTGGTTAATTAGATTTTGACCTTGCAAATATAAAACAAAACCTTCCAATAAACCACTTCCTAAAATTATGAATTAATAAAGAAAAACTTTGAATCATTGTAATGAAACTACAAAAGTATAAAAAATATATGTTTAAAAAAATACAATAAAATATGGCATTTTAAATAATTTTATTGATTAATATTTAAAAAGTCAGTAAACACCGATTCCGGGGAATTCCTCCAAAGTTGGCAACACTACTCCCAACTACCAAGTTGTTATGGAAACGGTCCCTAGCGCTTGATGATGCAGCGGTGTGCGCCGTAACTACACATTACCCCTAGCGGTCGGCGCCGGAATATACGCTAACCGCAGCACAGCTGACAGTCTATATTTATTTCTTTTTGTCTATGGTTAGACCCTGCACAAAGGACCTTTTACTAGTGGTTTTCATGTTTAATAAGTTGAAATATCATTATTTATGTTCAATGAAATATTACTGTAATAATTGATAGTAACTAAATAAAAGTTAATTTAATGTCTCATTGTATTGGGTTGGGACCCATTATTTTATTTTAAAAATAGAAGATGGATTGTATATATATGAATAAATTCGGTAATGATTTTTTTAAATTCCTCAACCTCAAAAATATATAATTTGATACCAAGATCAAATTTTTAGCTTGAGTGGTTTCTAAACTACGAAGAATCAAACATTAAGATCCGCCATTTTCCAAAATGGCACTCAGAAAAGAGTCCCACTCATACAGAGCGAACACCGGTCAAAATATCATCTCTATTAATGTACAATAACATCTAGTACCAAGTTGATTTTCCCTACTGTTTCTCTTAAAATCAGCTGTCTCTATTATACTCGAAATAAAAACTTTACTACGATTCTTTTAATATTTTAACGCATCGGGCAAATCTGAGATGTGCCTGAAAATATAGCTTTGTTTATAATATGCCAATTCAAAAGTTTTTGCATTCCTTAAGAAGTGCAATGGGATATAGCATAGTAAATACATTGGGGTGACAGTTAAAACGGATCAATGTATATATCATGGAGGAAACCTCAACTTTAACTGCTTATATCTCCTAAACCACTAGGTTTAGGAAGAAAACATAAGAATAAATTACCCCCGTCGCAGCGAACCTGCAGACTAATCAAATTTCCATTTGCCTGATTTGTTTTTAAATTAATTTAATTTAAATAACATTGTGTTTAACAAGTACCTAGGTTTGCTGCTACAAGGAGAAGGAGGCTAATAAAGTGTGTATTTTAGTATAATATTAATAGCTTAGCATAAAATAAATAAGTTTACCAAGTTTGATCAAAATATATCAATAAACAAGCAAAACTACAAGTAGTGCAGGAAAAAATTTAAAATTTAGCCTAATAGTGGAATTTTAATTTATCAGGCTGAAAATTGCTGGAGATGTTGTACATACAACTGGGAACATCATACTAAAATTCCCAAAAAAATCCCACTTGGGCAACATGCTGCCATCTTGGAAAATGGCCGCCATAATGGATTTCCCCCCTTGTGTCACATATTCAATCATAAAACAACTCCTAATTGTGATAAAAACGTGCAGTTTCTTCAAAATTATTTGTCGGGATGTTATTAAAATATTTAGAGCCAATGTAAATAATTGTATATAGTAATTTAACATTTTATGCAAAAAATAACCAACCATTTTTTAAAAAGTAATACTAGTCTTGGATTCTAAATTGGTTTAAGACCTCTTTTACTCATTGGGAGAAAAACTTACGAGCGTAAATGTTTTCGAACAGGTCAATATGCACAAGAAAATGTAATAATATTTGTTTTTGGTCTATAAGTATGCCATCATATTGACGTTGAACGTGCAATTGCAGCCTAAGTTTTAGACCGCGTCGTGGTGGAGACTGTAATATAATGCTGTAAATGAAACGAGTTCTTTTGCAGCATGCTGAAGTTAGGGGATATGTTTCCACATTAAAACCCTTTAGGAGATCAGACAAGATACAGTCACATTTAACCATGGGAAATGTGGTCGTTGTGCGGGGTGAAACTATTCCTATTAGCCAAAATTAGCTATTCTGTCAAATTATGTGTCTTGTCCGTAATGATTAACAGTTGTAGGCATGTTTTGAATACGAGTTGGCACCATTACCAACAGCATTATTCAACGATGGGACCAATAGAAAACCCAACAAGGCTGCGGTAAGGACCATGAGGGAGAAATTGTGTCCTCCTATGGATTGTCTTCCACTAGCTCCAAACCTTGTGATAGATGGTGGGCATCTTCTCCACATGGTAGTCTAGCAAAAACCGGCTATTTTCTCTGACATTTTTGTAAGGCGTACCAGACATACATTGTAAAACATTACGGAAATCAAGTCATGGTTGTTTTCGACTGATTCCAGGAAAGTACGATGAAGGATGTAGAACACGTTAGGCGAACATTTAAAGTGACATCTGCCGAAGTTCTTGTTGGTTCTGATGTGCAAGTGGTATCCCAGCAGCATCCATTCTTAGCCAACGTAACCAACAAAACAAGGCTCATTGATCAATTAGTAAGTCATCCAAACAGAAACTGAATACAAGCGGTCCATGCGAAAGCTGATGCAGATCGTCTAATTGTCCAAACAACCATCCTACTAGCCAATGAAGAAAAAACTCTGCAATTGTTGGAAAGAACACTGAGGCATTCGTCCTGTTATTGACCCTTTACTGACCCTGACAAAAATATCTTAATGCTCATTCCACTTTCAAAAGCTCATTAGCAAAAGATATTTTCATCCACAGCACTGCAAAATAGTATGGACAATGTCAACGAGCATCTTGTTTTCCCGCATTCTATGTCCGGTTGTGATACCACGTCAGCAACCTACAGGAAAGGGAAGATACAAGCATTCAGTGTTCTGGAGAAATCACCAATTCTTTGCCAACCAGTGTATGTGTTAAATCGGGCGGAATCCACACAGATGGAAATCGTAAAAAGCTGGATAGGAATTACTTGAGGCCCTATATATGGAGCAAAAAGCGGTCAGGGACTCAAAAGAACTCGATACAAACAGTACCTGAAAGTAATATCAAAACGTCTTGACTTTTAATTTGACCTTTCAACACTTCTACCAATTTCTGAAGCTGCTAGAGAGCACAACCTTAGAGTGTACCACCAGGGTCAAGAATGGCTAGGGGTTTCTCTTTCATTTACAGAGTGGGGATGGAAAAAGAACGAAATAGGTACATTTACTCCAATTCCTACTTCAATGCCCCTTTACCTGACAACCTCCTCAACTTGATAAGATTTGCATGTAAGACTGGATGTAACAGGTATTGTGGGTATCTGAAAATGGGTTATCTTGTTCACGATTGTGTATCTACTGCACCAACGGTTGTGGTCACGGGATCAATGCTACATCAGTACTAAATTAATGAAGAAGGGGGCATTAATGTACCTGATTTACCAACCCACTCCCGTTCTGACCGGGAAGTCAACACAACCGACATGCAAATGATTCCATTCAACTTTGCAGCAAGAGGAAAAAGTCCATAGAAGAAAATCGTTTTTATAACTCACAAACTTATTAATTGTCAAACAGAATATATTCAGTTTTTTTGGAGTTTATATAAAAAAGAAAAATATTATGTATCAAATAAAAGTAAGTTATAAAAGTAATACTAATCCAACTGTTTATTTACTATAAGTAATTTAATTCCATTTACATAATTTTATTACAGTCACCACCATGATGCGGTCTGAAACGTAGGCTGCAATCACATGTCCAGCTTCAATATGACGGCATACTTATAGACCAAAAACTAATATAATTACATATTCTTGTGTGCCTTGACTTGTTCTATAAGATTTAATCAGAGAAGTTTTATCCCTGATGAGTAAAAAAGGGTCTTAAATCAATTTAAATGCAAGACCAGTATTACCTTCCAATTATTTTTGTTTAGTTCTTAGCATAAAAATTTGCAATTTCCATACAAAACTATATATAATGGCACTAAATATTTTAATTACATCCCGACAAATAACTTTGAATAAACTGCACGTTTTTATCACGGTTAGGAGTGGTTTTATGCTTGAATATGTGACACAAGGGGGGAATCCATTATGGCGGCCATTTTCCAAGATGGCGGCATGTTGCCCAAGTGGGATTTTTTGGGAATTTTAGTATGATGATCCCAGCTGTACGTACAACATTTCCACGAATTTTCAGTCTGATAAATTAAAATTCTGGAATCCAACACTATTTTCCTGCACTAAAGAGTTGACAATATCCTCCGTAAGAATAACATGGCATTTTTAAATTAACACTTTAATTTTCACCGTAACCAATAAGGGTACAAAAAAAACTTGAACTTCCTTCTGGTCTTCTACACACAAGATTATTTGACGATTTTGTTTTATTTAAGGATCCATCCTCATCCCTTAGTATATTCCCAGCCCATCTCATCCTGCTCCTTGCCTCAGACATAATATCTGGTTTCAAATTCAATTCTCTTCATGCTAAAATCTCCATTCTCCATTTTCGGAGGATAGTCCATTCATTTTTCTCATACTCGGGTCTCAAAAACGATTTGACGTTTTTCTGTTTTTTTTTATTGGTAGGCTATCGAATTTTTTGAACCATATAATAAGAATAACAAAGGAAAATGTGTTTTAGGTTCCATATTGTTTGCCATCACTATGATGATGATGGGGAAGTCAAAGAAGGAACCTGCCAAGACAAACGGCCATAGTCTGGAAGGAATAGAAAACGGAGGCTTTACTACCTTGGAGAGGATAGCGAACTCTAGCCGATCTCCCGCTATTGAGAGTCACCATTTATAAGTTATATATCAGCGTAAAGTGTTAGCAAAACGAATAACGATTAAGGTGACCGAATCTATTAAAAACGTTCTGTAAAAACTCAGGAAGAGTTAGGGAATCGTTTGACAAAGATGGGAAACTAAGCTTTAGAAGTATACGTTTAGAGTTCCTCTTATTTCAAAATCTTAATTTTTGTTTTAACTTCAATAGTGTTGGGGCTCATGGTTGTAAATAAAACCAATTCAAACTATTACAATACCTACTAATTGTTTTTTATTATATTCCAATATTTTTAAATTAGTGACTCTTTGTTTATAGATTTCTTGTAAGTATATTTATCAAATGATTGAGTTTATATCTTTTGTAAAAAATTACTATACCAGAATGGTTCGGAAGTAACAATAATGTTTTAGACACAACATTGAATACGATTACCATTACCATGGTGTTAGAGCATTACTTTACTAAGTAAGCAGTAGCCTGGAGGAGCCTGCAGAGTGTTAAACAAGCACTGTGAAAACTGAATACAGTTATGTATAAACTAGTTTTAATATTTTCAGCAGTGATTTTCAAGACATTGTAATATTGTTTTGTTTAGTGGTCAACAATTTTAGTATGAGGTTGGATTATCTCAGTTTAAAATTGTCTAGCTCAGTGTTTATTTAATAGCATAGTGAAAATAGTGTTTGTATCTTGGACATGCTAAAATATTTTCAAGCTATCGTCTACGTCTCAAAACTTCTTTTGGTCAATAGTGTGAAATATATTAATTGAATTTAAGTAAATTGCACATAAAAAAAATAATTTTAAGTGGTATCAAACTTAGTGATGACTATGTTAAATATACATAAGGGTCCTTAAGATCCCCATTGAAAACTAATATTTATTCCACAAAAATTTCCATGACAAATTTTGCACCCTTAGAGTAAATTAGATAAGTATATTGTGATAATAAAAGTTTAGCATTGTAAATATTGGTAGTTATGTAGAATAATCTTAGTTTTACATATTACTATAGTATTAAAAAATGAATATAAACTTGGTGTATAATGAGAAATAAATACCCCCCCTTGCCACAGCAAACCTGCAGACTAAGTGAATTTCCATTTACCTGTCTGGATTTCCACAAACATATTCCCTTATAATTAATTGTCAGTTTTTTTTCTATTTAAATAGCATTAATTTTAATGAGAACTTGGATATGCTGCAACAGGGAAGGTAAAAGGTATATTTTTTATGTTGATAGCTTAGTGTGAAATAAACAATTTGCAAGATTTTTTTCAAATATATCCATAAACAAGCAAACTATAACAGTTATTTATTCTCCATAAAAATAACATGTACAATTTTTAATTTACTTTTTTTTAGAATTGTCTACGTAACCGTTAGGCATAATGCTTCAACATACTAAATTATTTGTTATTTTAAACTCTACAAAATAGTTTGGAAAGAAATCACAAAATTTTATGTTTTGGGGGTCAAAATGGGGAAAACCCTATACCGGGTTCCCAAAGTTTCCAAGACCTCATTCGCCTATTGGGTCTGATGATGATTGGAGTGTCCAATCGAAATCGATCACCACTTGCCCTCTTTTAAAATTACCTCTTTTAAAATATTTACCATCTTGTGAGTAAATAGTATAAGTGTAAATATATGTTATTAGACATATTTTTCTTTACTTTTTGTAAATTTAACACATACTAATGCTAATGCTGATCAAGAAATCATTTATTTAACCCATGAAAAAATATATTTATCTTTTTGCTGTGATCATTTGTCCACAGTAAAGTAAATATTTAAATATCTTCTGATTTTAATGTTCATTCTTAAATGAAATTTTAAAGAAATGTAATTTTCATAAAGAAAAACCTACTATTAAACACAAATGGAATGCAAGCAAACCTGAACCCAAAATTATATTTTTAACAAGGGCGATATTTTATTGAAAGTAAATGTTAATTAAGACAGCATATTTTTGTACTACAAGTTAGGAGAGTTAGTTTAACCAAGTAGGTATTTGTTGTATTTTAAAACAAATGGACCATTTAAAATAGCCATATTTACATTATATCAGTTTTCATGTCTAGATTATTATAACTATTTAATTTATAACTCAAATTTATAAAAGCCTCTTCACTCTTGTTCCGAAACCTTTACTCGTATTCCCATAGAGTGTAGGTTTTTACCTAATTTAATATTAAACAGTTATTGTTATTTTTGTGTTGAGCTTTTTTGGGTAAAATTTCCCTTTAGATCTACTGAATTTTCAATATACTGTACTGTGGTTTCAAGTTTAACTCACTTTTTTTGTTACAACACTGAAGTAACACAGTTATATTTGCTAACTGTAATAGACTGTTGTCAAATGGATGACATTATTTATTTGAAACAAATCAAATACATTGTTACAAGAGCTATTGAACACCATGCTGAAAAAGCCTAATATGGCTTGACTGTAGCTCATAAAAAAAGTTGAATCAAGTCTAAAACTTATTACTTCTATCAGTCAGTGTTTGTGTCGTCCTTATCCCTCCAGTCCTGTTCTCACAACAAATCAGCAACCAATCCACTTTGCTAATTCACAATAATTATCTTTCTGTGAAAAATAAACAAGTACCTTAGTTACAAAAAAAAAAAAAAAAAAAAAAAAAAAAAAAACTATATAGTTATTCTTAGTGTTCACAAAAATTAGCGAAGAGTTAAAAATTAAACTAAAATCTCAAAACCTGTAAGTATATGAAAAATTTTGGTTTTGAGTTATGATTGGTGAGTTTCAAAAATAAAAACTCAAAAGGGACAATATATTTTCTCTTTTCTGACATATTTTTTCCGCTACAACAGAATGGCTATGACATTGTATAGGTATTCTAAATGTGAAGATTACATACCTTCAGGCCAGAATTCATAATCTATCACCAGTTAGGTATGTTTTACACATAAACCAAATAATAATAATGTAATAATGTAATGTTGTAATATCCTTTTACTTTGCCTCACCTAAATAATTGTTTATCCATAAATCGAGATTTTACAAGGGAAGAAATTAAACTTGCTTAATCCTCACAAATGATATTGATAAAATACTTTTCACATTACTGGATTGAGCTAATTCAAAGCACTTTGAAACGTTTCATTAAATTCAGACAGAAGTAAAACAAGGAACCCATTTGATTCATCTTGATAATGTAAATGTTTAATTTTTTATAGCCATAGCCAAGCATGTAAATAGATTAGTCTAGTCAAGATTTGAAATAAAACCCCTCAACCTTTAAAAAAAATTCTCTAAAAGGTTTTTTGATGGTTTACATTTCTGATAAGTATGTGAAATATACACTAAAAGTCTAATAAAATCAGAGTCTCGAAAACCGGGTTTTTTTTCAATATGGCGTCCAGAAATTTGAAAAATATTAAACCTTAATATTTTTTCCGTAAAATCTCTTCTGAACCTCCAATTAAGACCGAATTTGGTACAAACCTGTGAAACTGTATTATCTAGAAATACCCCCGCCGCAGAAAACCTGCAGACTAGCGTACTTGGGTGGAATTGCACAAAATTATTCCCTTAAAATAGTCAGATTTATTTCCTATTTAAATATAATTAATTACAATGTGTACTTAGGTTTGTTGCTACAAGGAAGACAATGTGTGTTTTTTTATTGAAATATTAATAGCTTAGTATGAAGTAAACAAATTTTCAAAATTTCACTAAAATATGTCCATAGACAAGCAGGCTATAACACTTAATTCTTCATCAGAATAACATTGTCATTTAAAATTTATACTTTTTTAATTTTCTCCGTAACCATAAGGCATGCAACGCTTCTATATACTATATTATTTGAAATGAAATGAAATGAAATGATTTATTTGCCGTTGATCATGTACATGAAATGGGCATTGTCATATAATGAAGTTAATTAAAACAGATTTCATATATCTATAAAGGCTAACTAAAATCTATGCAAATTGTTTTTATGAGCTCTACAAAATGGTTTGGAAATAAATTGCAAAATATTACGGTGAAAAAATGGAAAACCCCATTTTTACCCCATAAAAATAGATTTTAGGCATACTAAATTTTTAGGGCTTTACCTAGACACAAATCTTAAATATTTACAAATCATAACACAAAAACTTTCTTCAGGGTTATATGTTTTGAGGGGTGTGTCACTAATGTAACCTGGACATTCTAAAATCAAAATATTTTGTCTTATGGTCTGGCAATCTAAGGAAAAACGCAAAAAAAATGTAGATACAGTTCTGAAACTCCAAAAATGCCATAAGAATCATGATACACTTAGACAAATAATAACTGTGAAAGATAAATTTTCAAATCTACATATTTTGACTGTCTATGATCAATATATACTAGAATGTGTTATGTGTGTTAAAAATCAACAACAAAATTTGGAAATTAGAAAAAATGTCTATTCATATGACACTAGAAATAAAAATGATATAAATTTATTAAAACATAATCTGTTTCAATGAGAAAAAGGAAACCTTTATGGAATCAAAATTTTTAATCTTTTTCCTACCAAATTGAAAAGTAAAAAAACCAAAATAATTTCATAAAACTAGTGAATCATCTGCTGCAAAAGAGTTACTATTCATTTAAAGAGTTTTTTTCAATGTAAAAATACCAAAAAATTTTGAGATGCTCTGCTGGAAAAAATAAACAATAAAGACAAAGATAAAGAGATAATATAAGATATATAATACATTTATATAAGATATATAAGTGTATATAGTTATTTATCTATATATATATATTATATAGATATATAAGATATATATATATACCGGGTGGCGCGAAAAGGATTTGATCTGCGTAGTACCATTCGTGGGGGAGGGGAGGAAGCCGCTACCGGCTGTCTGCAAGTCGGCCATTAAAGCCAGTTTGCCCAGAGATGGCGCAGTGGACGGTAGCGCACCGCGTTTATGCCGTGGAACAGTTTTTTAAAAACAATGAATCTTTCATAACAGTACAGCGGCTGTTTCGACAACATTTTGGTGTCGCGCGTGATGGGCTGATACCAGATCGCAGATCAATATCTCGCTGGGTGAAAGCATTTAGGACAACGGGTTCCGTTATGAGCGGTAAGTCTCCTCAAAATATCGATACTGTGAGAGCTTCAGTGTTTGAAAGTCCTCATCGTTCCACCAGGCGTTGTGCTCAAGCTTTGGGCCTCAGCCGTCGCTCGCTGCAACACATTCTACACAGTGAGTTGAAGTTTCACCCTTACAAAATTATGATTACCCAAAAGCTCTACAAATAAGACTTTGTGAAACGCAAACGTTTTTGTGAAACAATGTTGGACATTTTGTATTCTAGTGATGATGTTGTGCTCATAATGTCAGATGAGGCCCACTTCCACTTGGACGGATACATCAATAAACAAAACTGTAGGTATTGGGCAGCTGAAAATCCCAGGGAACAACACCAAAGGCCTCTCCACAGTGCTAAGGTGACTGTTTGGTGCGGGATTTCGAAATTGGGGATTATTGGACCATACTTTTTTGAGGAGAACGACGCTACAGTGACAGTGAACTCTGAACGTTACGTGAACATGCTTCGTAACTTTTTAAAGCCAAGGCTGCGGGATTATGTGTAAACCGTCAACACATTTGGTTCCAACAGGATGGGGCAACAGCCCACACAGCCAATGACTCTATGAGTGTTTCGAAGCGGATGTTCCCTCACCAAGTCATCTCGCGATTCGGAGACGTTCACTGGCCCGCTAGGTCTCCTGACCTCTCAGCATGTGACTTTTTTCCTTGGGGTTGCTTAAAGGCTTAAGTCTACGAACACAAGCCTCAAAACTTAGTTGATTTAAAAGAGGCAATCCGTTAAGAAATAATGGCAATCCAAGAAGAAACTGTGGCGAACGTGTTCGAGAATTTCGAAGAAAGACTTTTAGAGTGCATCCACGAGGAAGGACGCCATCTGCCAGAAGTCATTTTTCGCACCTAATTTTTATCTTTTGACTGACCGATTTTTCTAACAGCTATGTAGCCAACAAGGTTCTTTTTTGTAATTGGGTGCTTTGGAGTATTCAGAAACATGATGTATTAAAAGTTCTGTATCAAACCATTTGTGTTATATTCATTTAAAATGTGAATCAGAAACAACGACAGTGATAGGAGAAGATACAGAACTACTTATCCTGCTGAAGCTCTACAGAAAATCATTGTACTACAGATCCAACAGAAAATAGGGTAAATGGGAAAATTAAAGTTTTTGACATTTTGAAACTAAAAGAGACGCTTGGAGATGAGTTGTATTCCCAGCTACTGTTCATACATGCCATAACAGGGTATGATACAACCTCTCGATTTCATAGCATTGGAAAAAATTAGTGAATGCCACGTCATTTGTGAAACCTAACATACTTCCCCCTACTGGATCTGCTGCAAAGATGCATTGCCACCGATCCTATTATCTAATTCTTGTATGGATGGGAAAGGAAAATGTTGAGGATACTTTGATATAGGGATGTTTTACTCCATATCTCGTGCCGCTCCAGAGATTCTTTTAAGAACTGTTCACTGCAACTGCTGTACTGGCTGCAAGAATTGTCAATGCTCCTGCAAAAAGTATGCAGGGGTGCCCATCCCCCCCTAGACTCATGACGCCCCCCCCCCCAATTAAGCAACAGCCCCCCCCCCCCACCATAAATGAGGAACACAACAAATGAGAAACATTATTCCCCCGCCCAGCACTATTTGTAAAACTAAAAGAAGTTTTAAACATTTTTTTTAGATATTGAAAATTCAAACCCAGTTAATCTATATAAATAAAGTTATGGTTTTGTCTGTACATTGCTCAGAATTATACATATTTTGGGTTATTTTTACGTTTTATACATTGAAGAAATTGAAACATGTCTTATCTAAATTTATGTCCGTCTGTCACGGCCCAGAAGGCATTTTACGCAGCCTACTCTAAAGAAAACTAGAGTACCGATTATAATTCTAATGGTTTAATTGTATTCACAGGATTGGCGAGAGTGTCCTTAGCCAATCAAATATGGCCTCACTATTTTGGAAATAAAATAACGGACGATCAAAAACCCAATTTTTTGTGATTTTTCTAGTTTTTTTCTCCATGTTTACTACATACGTCATTTATGAAATACTAATAATCTGTTAAGAACACGTCATATATTAAATTACGAACAGCTGTTTTGATAAAGATTCATTTTTCTAGCTGT